TATTCTCATTTATTCAAGTTGAAACAACTCCTCTGTTCATCAGTAGTAGAATGGATAACTGCATAGTTTATACAGCACAGTACTCTTAAAAAAAAGAAAAGATTTTATTTATTCATGAGAGACACACACACAGAGAGAGAGGCAGAGACACAGGCAGAGGGAGAAGCAGGCCCCATGCAGGGAGCCCAACGTGGGACTCGATCCTGGGACTTTAGGATCATTCCCTGGGCTGAAGGCAGGCGCTAAACCACTGAGCCACCCAGGGATCCCCCAGTGGAATACTCTTTAGTAATGAGAATGAACAGATTATTGTCTCATTTACAACATGGATGAGCCTCTCTAGCTGAACAAAAAGAAGGTACATACAGCAGAGTAAGTGCAATGTGATTCCACTTATATAGAATTTGAAAACAGGAACGACTGAATAAGATGATAGAAATCAGGCTAGAGGGACACCTGGGTGGCTCAGTGGTTGAGCGTAGGCCTTTGGCTCAGGGCGTGATCCTGGAGAGCTGGGATGGAGACCCGCACTGGGCTCCCTGCAGGGAGCCTGCTTCTCCCTCTGTCTCTCTCTCTCTCTGTGTCTCTCAAGAATAAATAAATCTTAAATAAAACAAAACAAAAAAACAGGCTAGAGATCCCCTTGAGTACAGTTACAGGAAAGGACACATGTGACTTTTGAGGCATTTAATTTTTAATCGGAGTGGCAATGACTGGAGTGAATCTGCTTTTTGAAAGTTTTAACTAAAAAAAAAACATTTAAATATATTTTAATACAAAGTTTACTTAAAATAGTGTATTATAAAATATTTGGTTCATTCAGTTGCCCCTCATCTGGGGAATATAAGATAGAGATGGCATGATTTCTGGTGATGAAAAAGTCTTAAATTTTTGTGGGAGATGGTATAATAGCAAATCAGTAGCTTTTGTGAATGAGGGACTTAAAAAGTGACTCCTTTCTGGCAGCCTTGTTAAAGCAGAGGTCTGGCTCAATGGCAGTTCATATAAAAAGACTTAGAGCTTTGTTTGATATTAAGACTGTTATCAGTGTGAGGTGGAAGCCAAAAAAGGACAAGGTGAGAACTGAATACAAAATTTTGTTTCAGATTTAATTTTCTTGCAATTTGCTTATGCAGTTGGATTAAAAATATTCTGATTAAAAAAAAATGTAAATCCTTTTAGTTACCTTCCTCCCACAGGCAGGTGTGGTATGTTAGTTTCCTATTGTTCCTGTAACAAATTACTACAAACTTAATGGTTTAAAACAACACAAGTTTATTATCTTGGGATTCTGGGGGTCAGGAGTCCAAAATGCACAGGCAGGGCTGCATTCCTTCTGGGGGCTCTAGGGCAGACTTTTTTGTTGTTGCCTTTTGTTGCTGCCTCCATTCCTTTGCTTGTGGTCCCTTCCTTCATCTTCTGAGCATATCATGCTCACCTCTGCTTCCATTATCCCATTTTCTCTGTGTCAGAGAAGAGTCCTTCCTCCCAGAAGGACCCTCATGACTATGTTGGGCCTATGTGGATAATCAGGGGTAGCATCCCCATCATTAACTTAATGACAGCTGCAAAATCCCTGTGCTCTGTAAGGTACTGTATTTATAGGTTCTAGGGACCAGCACTTGGACATTTCTGGGAGAGCCCTATTTGGGGCCTTTCCCCGATGCGATTTTATATTTTGTCTTCACAAATAACACAGTACCCTGGCTCTCAGGAGCTCACTGATACTTGAACAAAGAAATGCACCTAAGATTTCATTATTTAAAGTACAGTTTATGGAAAAATAGAAGTGATGGTCTTGGCCTATTCTCTGCCAAGATTCAGGTTGAACCTGAGGTCAAACCTAAGTTTCAGACCTTAGGTGCAGGTCTAGGTACCTATACTATAAAGAGACAAGTGACTGAAGGGTAAAGGGTATAGGAACCAAGTCACTGAAGAAATGGTTGAAGCAATCATGGATGTGTTTGTCCTGGAAGAGGGCTCAGGATGGAGTGTGTGGCATTAATTATCTTTAAATATTTGAAGGAGTATTATTGGAGAGAATAATTAAGCCTTTTTAGTATAATGGCGATAGCGTTAAAAACTAAAGGAATAGTATTTTAGAACTTACTATGCCCAAGTAAGTTCAACTAATCCTGGGTTGCTGTGATCCCTGTTGATACATAAGGAAATCGAGGCATAGAGAGGTTATGCAACTTGTCTTAGGGCATAAGCTAGGATGTAGCAAAGCTGAGATTTGAACTTGAGGCATTCTGACTCCACAGGCTTCTCTAAATCATCACGTTATCCTGCCTCCAGGCCTTTAGTTCCAGAAGATTCAGTTGGACTAATGGCAGAAAGTTTTTTTAAAAACAGAGGGACCACTTTTTGATTCCGTTTGAGGAAACAACAGGATAATAACCAGAACTGGTTAGAAGTTGTTTCCCTGCCTCTTGATGTTCCTAGAAATGGTCAGGTAGGTTATTATAAAAGGAATTCCCAAATTGGCTAGAGATTAAATCAGATGACAGTAAGGTCCCTATTGGTTTTGAGATTCTGATCTGGGGAACATAATTTTTTTTCATTTTATATACACATATCAACCTTTGTGACATTTTATGTACTAAAGCTCCCTTGTGAACTGTGGTTTTCCCACTAACTCTCCAGAATTTATGTATTAGTCACTAACATCCAGGAGTGGTAGGTCATATCCCTGCCCCCTTTGAAGGTGCCATTGCTGTGCTCTGGTAACAAGATGGACTCAGTCTTGTCTTCCCTTTTGAATCTGGACTGATCTCCTGACCAAGGAAATGTTCTGTGAATTCTGGAGCCTGGTCCAGAAGAGATCTTGCTCCTCTTGCTTTTGTTCTTTTGGACTGCCAAGGCCACCATGCTGTGAAGGGTCAGGCCTACCTGAGCATGCGTGTCTGTGTGGAGGAGACACACCCAGCTGACGGCCCCTAATGCTACACACGGGTGAGGTCATCCCAGCCCCTCCAGTCCCTGCTGAGTTGTGCAGTGGCTCAGTCACATAAGTGATGGCAGGTAAGATCAGGAGAGTGGCTCAGAATCATGATGAAAATTGGATCTTTGCTGTTTTAAGTCACCATGTGTTGGGATGGTTTATTGTGCAGTGGTGCAGAACCAATACACGATATTTTGGTGCATGTTTGGAAGTAGCATATGTATTTTAAAATATTGTGTAATTAGACATTCTCCCCAGTCCAGCAGACCTCCTCCAATCCACCCAGTCATCCCTCTGTGTTATTGAAGCCCTTCTGGGTTTGGAGAAGTGTTTTTTTGTTAGTATTATATGAGTAAAGGATAAGACTCTTAAGTAGGGTTTGGAGAAAACTGATATGAGAGAACACAGTGTGTCTGGATTTGGGTTTCTTGGTGAGAGTCCTGTAACTTATATTTTGCAAAATAAGTTTAATCAGATTGGACCCTAGAAAAAGAGCAAGTCTCTTAGTTTCTCCAAATGTGCTAGAATATTGCCCTACTCTTTCATTCTCTTCAAAGCCATTGTCATTTCAGTGTACATGTGCTCTTTTTTACTTTTATCACTTTGTGATTTCTAGAGTGCTCATTTGACCCTAAATTTAGAATTATTTCAATTTTACTCAACACTTATCCCTATGTAAGTGCTGATTTCTTATATCTGAGTAAATTTGTCTTCTTCAGTCACTCTTTTTTTTTTTTTTTAAAAGACTTTATTTATTCGTGAGAGACAGAGAGAGAGGCAGAGACACAGTCAGAGAGAGAAGCAGGCTCCATACAGGGAGCCCGATGTGGGACTCGATCCCCGGTCCCCAGGATCACACCCTGGGCTGCAGGTGGCGCTAAACCGCTGCGCCACCGGGGCTGCCCGTTCAGTCACTCTTTTAAGGAAAGTATGAGTTCATGTGTATTTTGGTTACATCTAGTTAATTTACAAATTTTCTTTTCTTCCTAAGGATTATCTCCATTACAGGTAACTTTGAAATTGTCTTTTGCTTGCATGTAGCTCGTATCACCTTCTAGATTTCCTGATGGATTGATTTCATCATAGACGTTGAAAAAAATGAATCTGGTGCACTCTGTAAGAGTAGGGAGGTGGCTGAGGGAAGGCTCTGGAGTGGGTATGAAGCTGAGCTCTGCTGCTGACTAGCTGTGTGATCTGGGGCAAGTTCCTTGACCTTTCTGAGCTTTGGTTTTGTCTTGTGTTAAATGAGGGTACCCAAAGTACCGACCTTAAAAAGTTGTTATGAAGATTAAATGAGATAATACTTGTTAAATGCTTGCTTGGCATAGATCGCAAATAGCACTTATTATGGTACAGTTGTTACTACAGCATAAGGAGACTCAGTGGGAAAAAAAAAGGAATCTCAGTGGAGGAACATTTCAGTTTAGGACACTGAGCAATAGTTAATGGGTAGAAGTGACAATGGTGATGCTGGTACCTAAGGATTGTTAACTGAACATTGAGAGTTGTTTTAAAAGTCCTCTGGTGCATGTGGGATGTGGTTATAGCTCATTCAATGCTAGATATATTAAGACTGAGGAGGAAAAAACATTTAAAATGGAAGTGTTGGAATCCATTTGTAGCATGCATCAAAAATAAAGATACATTTGAAGTGATATTGGAAATTGCCGGGGAAAAGCATCTTACAGAAGTTATGTTTATGCACATTTTTGGCTTTGGCAAACTGAGCTGTGCTTCTCTGCCAAGATTAAGGAACAAGATTTCTGCCTGTGAAAGAGTGGGAGCTGGAAAGTTGGGTTCTGGTTTTTGCTCCATCACTGGCTTCCCTGTACTTGGGCAGAGAGCACTGCTTTTCTCTGAGCAGGATTCTGATTCCTGAAAAAGAGCTAGCAGTTAGCCCTCCTGGTGAGGAGTAGAGGAGATGGTATCTTTGAAAGCAGGTGGAGTGTTAAATTACAAAGTAAATGCAAATGTAAGTTACTTCAGTATAGAAAAAACTGTTAGCTGAGAAATTCTTGCCATTTTACAGCTCAGATTTTATTCTGTGGGCCTCTTGAGTTCTATAATCCCCGGATAAGTACTTTTTTGAAATACCCAGCCTCAGGGGAATCTTCATTCATTCATGAGAGACACGCAGAGAGAGGCAGAGACACAGGCAGAGGGAGAAGCAGGCTCCTGCAGGGAACCTGATGTGGGGACTCGATCCCAGGACCCCAGGATCGTGACCTGAGCTGGAGGAAGACGCTCAACCACTGAGCCACCTAGGCATCCCACCTCAGGAGACCTTACACCCCAATATGTAGGTAAAGGTAAAGTTCCTTGTTACGCCAGTCTGACTTCTTTCCCTTTGATCCCAGAGAAACCGGCTATGATTTCCATCCAAAGCCTAGTAGTAAATGTACTTTCTATCACTTTGTCTTTTTTTTTATTTTTATTTTTTTTAAATTTCTTATTTTTATTTACTTATGATAGTCACACACACACAGAGAGAGAGAGAGAGAGGCAGAGACACAGGCAGAGGGAGAAGCAGGCTCCATACACCGGGAGCCCGATGTGGGACTCGATCCCGGGTCTCCAGGATTGCGCCCCGGGCCAAAGACAGGCGCCAAACCGCTGCGCCACCCAGGGATCCCTATCACTTTGTCTTAATTTACCTCAAATATCTTATTCTCATCAATAATATTTAGCTTTAAGATACTGTGATCTTACAGCTTTGGACTTGCCGTTGTATGTTCTTTGTTTTCCTCTTTTTTCATCCTACTGCCTCCTGGACTAGTTTCATGCCAGGTGCGACTTAATTTTTCTCTATTTGTGTTGCTTGGTTCTAGTGCTTTCTCCTTTGTCTTGAATCACTGCCCTCCCTGCCTCTAGACTGCCACACTGTCAGAGGGCGACTTCCTGAAGCTTCGCTCGAATAGTTAAATGTACTGGCTCAAAGCCTGAGGTTTCTTTGGCGAATGGAATCCAGACCTGTACTACAGTGTGTTCACGGCCCTCTGCCACGTGGCTCCTGCTCTCCCTCCACCTCCCCTGTCTACATTTGTACTTCTTCAAAGTCCTGATCAGACGCCCCCCCTCTCCCATCACACACCCTGCACCCCCCCCCCCGCCTTAGCTCTCACATATCCATGCTGCAGCCTCCTCTGTGTCAGGTAGGCCTGTACTTCAGCACAGCCTCTACTGCTGTAGGTTGGTTTTTCCCATAGAATTAGCTTAGAAATGGTGATGATTTCTAGGCTCACTAAGCTGATAACGCTGTTGCAGGACTGGACCTGTGCATGAACAACAGAAAAGAAGCCATTTGAGTAAGGACCTCCTATGATTTCATCATGTTAGCCTATCCCTAAAGAGCATGCTTGTTTAGAGAATGAGGCATAGGAACGTGAGAATTTTCTGGGAGTGTTTGGGAGCCTTCACGGGTTTGGACATTTAAAGTTCTCGTTATATTCCCCAATATTCAACCTGCCTTTTCTTTGATACCGTTGGGTCATTAAATCCTTTAAAACGTATCTACTCTGGCTTTCTGAAGGCACAGCTGAAATGAATACAGAAGAAAACAGTAGGGAGAGGCATCTTCTTGAGATAGGTGGGCAAGGGCTGAAAAGACAGGTGTAGGGAAGAAAGAGGTGGTAAGAAGGACATGTGGGTTTGTGGGTCGTGGTGTTTTGAGGTGGCATTCCTGGAATTTTGAGTGATGAAACAAGACAAGTGGGAGTATGCATTTAATTCCCTTGGGGATAAGCAAAGACGTGGTGAAGAAGAGACTCTGGGTAGAAAGATGTCCAGGTGGCCCCCAAGGATGGTTTGTTTGCTGTCGGGGTTGCCTGGGGTTGGACTGGGGTTTGGACAACCTGTGAGAGCTGAGTGAGAGCTCTGGGGATGCCCTTGGACTGAAAGGAAGCCTAGTAGGTGGGATGGCCATGCCACTTGGAGGGTGAGTGAAACTTCATCAGATGGAGAAGAAAACCAGAGCTCTGGTGAGGTAGGCTTCTGATGAATTAAATTCACTAACTGGTCAGATTATAGCTAATATTTTGGGGGCACTTACTCTGTGTCAGGCCTTTGATGAGCATTTTACATTTAAATTCATTCAACAGCCCTGAGGAAATAGGCCTAAGTGGTTGTAGCCCACTCAAGTTTCTTGACCAGTAAGTCGCAGAGCTGGGACTCCCCCACCCCAGGGCCTGGCCCGCTTGCTGTAGAATTTTCCAGCATCCTGTCAAGTGGAGGCTATTTGGTCTAGTCCTTAAATTTTAAACGTGAAGATATAGCCCTGCAGCTTTGTTGCTCATTACTGTGTATCTGTGTAGGTGTCTGCAAAACATACACAATATAGCTGAGAGCACCAAAAAGGGAAACATTTTAATACTGAATTTTCTGCTTTCCCACAGTTAAATCATTAATGCAGAGGAATTGTCCTAGAAGAGAATGTCCCTGAAAAGCTTTTAAACAGCAGGCCTTCTAGAAGTTCCATTTAATCTCTAAGATTCTTTATGTTCACATTTCAGCAGTGTTTATTTTATTTTATTTATTTTTTTAGAGGTTCAGCCTTTGCTAATCACGTATTCTTAATGAGGTGAGGAGGCCATCCAATATAATACGAACATCCTTTGAAAGGAGACACATAAAACCCAGAGGTTAAAGGGAACTTTTCACTAAAGAGAAGACTACCATATTCCCACAAAGTTCCACAAAGAAATTCTAAGGTATTCTAGGAGATGCCAGATATTTAAAAATAAAGTATGGGAGGAAATGTGTAAAGCTAGAAGTGGTTCTGAAAAATCACAGGGGGACCTAAGAAGGTGGTGTTGAGGGCTGAGAATGTTTGGGTTCGAAAGCATACGTGCTTGCTTCTGGATCCCTCCGGTTGCCTGCGACCAAACTGCCTGAGCAACTCTTAGGTCAGTACCAGTGGGCACCCTGGTTGGAGGACCCCTGACTTCTGACCTCTTATTTTATGAAAGCCAACGTTTGTATCTTTTTCTGCTCTCTCTTAGCCTGAAGAAAGGAGTTTGTGCATGGTGGATTTTAAGCCAGGCTCTAGGGACAAGTAACTTTGTGGACTGGCATTAATGGGGCTGGCTGTGGCTGAGGAGAGGCATGGGGGCCCAGTGGTTCCCAAGACCTGGATTTGAGCCCTGGCTCAGTTATTTCAGACCGTGTGACCTTATTATGCTTCACATTTGTCCTCTGTAAAATGCCCCTCTCTCTTGCCCCACCTTCTTCACTAGGGTGTTGTGAAAATAAAGTGAGATCATGTGTGAATTCTGATTTATGGCATTACTGTCCTGTATGAGAAGCGCTTGCTTGGGGCTTAGAAATTTGCTCCCATTTTAGTTTGGCATCCATAGTGAGACAAACGTGAGAAAAGTGAGCCACGTGAGAAAAGAAGATTGAGGAGCCTCAGTCCCTAACTCCACGTCCCACCTCACCCCCACAACTGCCCCCGACCATTTATATCTGTGCTTTTACATGAAAGAGAAATGCACTTCCAGGCTGTTTAAGATTCTCCCCTTGGCCCAAGGTGGGCTGTTCGGGCTCTGGCCAGCAGAAGGGGCATGACCACAGCCTTGCAGCCAAATGCCCACACTGGGCTACACTATCCGGTTGAGCTTAGCATCCTGTGCATTCAGATAATTCCATTTCTGTGTAACGAAGGAAACCAAATATCGTGGGGTGGGCTACTAGCAGTGTCCACCACTGTTGCTGGGGGTCACGTTATTCACTTTCCCTTAAGTTTACCTAGGGCTGCCTGGGTGGCTCAGTGGTTAAGCGTCTGCCTTTGGCTCAGGGCATGATCTTGGGATCTGGGATCGAGTCCCACATCAGGCTCCTTGAAGGGAGCCTGCTTCTCCCTCTGCCTGTGTCTCTGCCTCTCTCTCTCATGAATAAATAAAATCTTAAAAAAAAAGAACATGTTTGGAGATGATCTGTACTTCTATTCAGGGTTTGAAGCCATTTATTATTTCATGGAGCACTAGTTCCTTCCCGCTATATTCCACACCCTGTGTTGGGGCCTGGGGACTCAGAGATCATGGTCCCTGTTCTCCAAAGCACACACCGCCCCCCCTCCGCAGGGGGAGGCAGGCATGTCAGGCAATGAGCACATGACTGTCTGGTGTACACTCTGATGGGAGGCAGATGGGGGCGCTGTGGGAGCTCATAGGGAAGACGTGCCCATCCCCGGGAAGGCAGGGCATGTGCGTGTCTCTGTGTGTGTGCATGTGTGCATTTTGGATGCAGGATGCACAGGGTCACTGGCGGCAGGAAGTAGGACTGGGGTTATATCCCTATCACTGTAAATAGTGCCGGGTCCCTGAAAGAGCAAGTGAACGGATAAGATGCTGTTCCCTGCTGTCATGTCTGTGGCTTAATGTTTTTATTTCTGTTTCTCTTCCTAGAAACTCTCCGTGTGTCTGCTTGGACCCTTTGTCACAAGGAACAATGCTGCCCTGGTGGGAACTGTCTTTTTACCTGTGCGCTTCACTAGGCTTCCACCTCTATTCTTTCTATGAAGTTTACAAAGCTTCCAGAGGTAAGGTCCCAATTTTCCTGATCTTCTTTCACGAAAAGAAGCTCTCAGAGATAGAAGATTCAGGAAGATTGTCTCATGGGCTTGGGATGACTTGGACTCTGCTTTGCTTTCCCCTGCCTGGGACACTTTGAGTCCATGACCTGAGTCAGTGCAATTTTCCACCCTAATCCTGGATCTTGGGGGGGTGGGGATCCTGTGGCTGGTTTTCTGTCAGAGGAGGCTTTGCTTCAATGGCTGTTGAAGGCTGTGGAGGTGATATGCAGTAACCTCTTACATATCCCTTCCATCATCATTGTTCTCAGACATGTGGAGGCAGTTCATGGTGTTGGAGGCCCAGACTCCTTTTGTCTTTTTGTTCTCCTGTGTTCAGTGATTTGAATACTTGAAGAAGAATCATCACTAAATCCACATTCCAGCCCCCAGGAAGGGGAAGGGGAACCCTCCTGTCCTTTAAGGGGAGCTCAGCAAGTTAACTTGGTCACTTCTGCTGACTCTTAGTTGGCCAGTACCAGGTCTTATGAACACAGCTGGGAGGCTGGGAATCATCATCTTTAGCTTGGTGGCCATGCGCCACTCAGACTTCCCATGCTATGGAGGAATGGGAGAAAGAAATGTGGAGGGACCATGATGGTCTCTTCTGTAGTCAGGGGCAGTTTCCTGGAGATGATGATGATTACTGGGCTTTGTTGTAAGGCAGAGGAGGAGCCAGCTAGGTAGAGAAGACCACAGAGGATCTGTGGAAAGAGATGAGTTTGCAGGCAAGTGGACAAGCCTTTAGGGTGTGAGGAAGCTTAGCGTGGTCTGGTGACTATAAACCACTCGGTGGTACTGGAATGTAGAGTGCAAGGGGACAGTGAGCTTAGATCAAAAAGCAAAGAAAGGCTGTGAAAGACATTGCCTATTTATGTGAGGAGTTTGGCAGGGAAATATGCTGAAAAATCACTTAAAATGATCAAGGTGGGTTTCGGGAAGCACAGTTGGCAGTGCTCTGCTCTGAACACCTACCTCCTTATGTATCACTGGGATTGATTTGGTTATGCATCCCCAGCATTCGACATATGTCCCATTCAAAGCCATGGGCTTGGTTGCAGAGACAGACCATCTACAGTAGAGGAGGGCTGTTCTTTTGTCAAGGCTGGCCAAGTGGTTGCATTCCCTTGCTGGAGCCTCTGAGCTCCCAAGACCCATGTAGGGAAACTAACTCTGCTCTATGTCAGGCACCGTATTAGATACGTCATGTACCTTGTCTCACTCAATCATTAGAACAGCCCTATGAGATGGCATATTACTTTGAAGACAGGTTTGGCAGCAGAAACACAGCTTCCAACATAACTCATGAGCCTTCCAACAAGGCTCATGTTGTGTCCAGAGAGCACCAGAGAGCCTGGCTCCTCCTACCATGTCCCTCTGCCATCTTCATCGTGTGGCTTCACCTCATAATGTCAGGTGGCTGCCTCAGTGCCAGCTGTCATGTTCACTTTTCTCCCAGAAGGGAAGATGGAAGGGAGGGGGGAGAACAGGCCCTCTCCTTTTCTGAGTGTGACTTGAAAGTTGCTTACATTATATCCATTGAAATGCCATTTGCTAGAACCTAGTCCTGTACCACATCACTGTGAGGAAAGTAAGTAAATGTAATCTTTGGTTGGAAGTCCATTTATCCAGTTAAGCTGTTCTGTTTTAGAGGAGGAAAGAATGGACACTGGCAATTAGTCAGTAGTCTTTTCCATAAGTGGATGTCAGTAGATTTTCACCATTCTAGTAGGTATGTAGCGGTATCTTACTGTTATAATTTACAATTCCCTGATGACGTGATGTGGAGTATCTTTTCCTATGCTCGTTGCCATATATATCTAATCTTTGGTGAGGTGTTTGTTCAGGTCTTTTGCCCATTTTTAAATTGGGTTGTTTATTTTCTTATTATTGAGTTTTAATTGTCCTTTGTATATTTTGGATAATATACAATATATTTGGATTTTTGCAAATATTTTCTTCCAGTCTGTGACTTTTCCTCTTATTCTCTTGACAGTGTATTTTACAGAGCAGATATTTTAAATTTTGGTTAAGGCCAGTTTACCAGTTGTTTCTTTTATGCATTGTGTCTTGGGTATCTAAAAAGTACTTCCCAGAGCTAAGGTCATAGATTTCCTCCTATGTTACTTTCTAAGAGTTCAGTAGTGTTGCATTTTATATTTAGATCAATAATATGCATTTTCAGTTAATTTTTGTGAAGGATGTAAAGCCTGCATCTAGATTCTTTCTTTCTTTCTTTCTTTCTTTTTTTTTTTTTTTTTGCATGTGGATGTCCAGGTCCAGCATTTGTGGAAAGACCATCTTTTCTGTGTTGTGTTACTTTTCCTCCTTTGTCAAAGGTCAGTTTACTGTATTTTTGTGGGTCTTTTTCTGGGCTTTCTATCCTGTTCCATTCATCTATTTGTTCTTTCACTAATGTCAGTCTCTTGAATGCTAGGCTTTATAAGTCTTGATATTGGGTGGTATTAGTCCTCTAACTTTGTACTTCTCCTTCAATATTGTGTTGGTTATTCTAGATCTTTCGCCTCTCCATATAAACTTTAGAATCATGTTGTCTATATCCACATGGGAACTTGCTGGGATTTTGATTTGGATTGCATTGAATCTATAGATGAAGTTGAGTAGAACTGACCTCTTAACAATATTGAGTCTTCCTATCTATGAACATGGAATATCTCTCAATTTTTTTCTGTTTATTTTTCATTAGAGTTTTCTAGTTCTCCTAACCTATAACTTGTATGTATCTTGTTAGATTTATAGCTAAGTATTTCACTTTTTGGGGTGGTAATGTACATGGTGTTGTGTTCTTAATTTAAATTTCACTTGTTCAGTGCTGATCTGAGGAAAGTAATTGACTTTTGCGTATTAATCTTATATCTTGCAACCTTGCTATAATAGCTTATTGGTTCCAGGAGGTTTTTTTTGTAGATTCTTTGGGTTTTCCTACATAGGTATTCATATTATCCGCATACAAAGACAGTTTTGTTTGTTCTTTTCCATTCTGTATACCCTTTATTTCATTTTTCTTGTTGTACTAGCTAGGACTCCCATTATGATATTGAAAAGGAGTGGTGAGAGGGGACACTTTTGCCTTTTTTCTGATCTTAGCAGGGAAGCTTTCTGACCATTAGATACGATGTTCACTGTATGGTTTTTGTAAATGCTCTTAATCCAGTTGAGAAAGTTCCCCTCTATTTCTGGTTTGTGGAGTTTGTAATTGTAAATGGGTGTTGGATTTTGTCAGATGCTTTTTGTGCATCTCTTGATATGACCACGTGGTTTTTCTTTTTTGGCTTGTTGATGTTATGGATTGCACTACTTCATTTTTGTGTCTTTGTCTGTGAGTTTGTTTTTAATGACCCTCTGTTGGACTCAGCAGGCAGGTCTTCTGCTCTGTGTGGTGTTAGCGGGGTTGCAGTCTTCTGGTGGCTTACTCACTTGGCTGGCCAAGACCTCAATGGAGGGCTATCAGCTAGTGTGCAAAGGTTCTCTCTGCATGGCTCTTCACTTGGCTTATATTTCTCATGACAAGACAACTTGGGTTCAAGAGGGAGTATTGCAAGTACACAAAAGCAGAAGCTACAGATCTCTTGAAGCTCAGCCTGGGAAGTTGTGTAATTCACTTCTGCCTTATTTATTGGTCAAAACAAATCACAGCTCCAGTCCAGACTCAAGGGGAGTGAAGACTATACCTCTTTATGGCTGGAGCAGCGTGCATGTGCACAGAACTTATGGCCATCATCTTTGGAGCCTATCACAATGCATATTGTATGTTTTTACCCAGATGAGGCCACAGAGGCTGAAAAATACAACTTATCCAAGGTTACACATCTAATAGGTTCTAATGGAACTGTTTTTTTTAAAATTGTAGACAGAATTCTTATAATTAATTATATACTTGTTAGAAAATAGAGTTTATATAATTATAATTAATTAATACTTGTTATAAAATTATAATACTTGTTAGAAAATAGAGTTTGACATTACTTAAAATTATATCAACATTCACAGAGGCTGAACAATCACCACAAGATGTCTTTACTTCCCAAGTATTTTTAAACTTTAGCTATGAAGGTCAGTTACCAGAGCCACACTTGTTCTTAACAAGCAGAATTTTTATGTCCATTCAAAGAGTCTCTTACATCTTTCTGGGCCTATTCATTTGCAGATTGAGTAGAAATTGCAACTGGGTTCCTCATATCTCGCATTCACATGTGATGCCCATCTTCATATGCTGTCCAATTTCTTTAGGATAAAAAGTGTCACAGCAGGGACACATAGATAAGAAAGTTCCGTATGGACGAGATCACATCCTTGCGCATCCTCTGTTTCATCTCCTCCGGGTCCAGCTTTGGCGCAAGGCCCTCAATCTGGAACATCACTGCTTTGCTTCTCAGCCTTGCAGCGGCCACGCTCTGCTCTCCTCAGGGGCTGCCTGGTACCTGGGGAACTGGGTTTAAACTCGGGTGTGTTCAACTCTAGACCCAGTATTTTGTTCTTTTCTGTCACTCATACTTAGTGATAATTTAATTCCTAAAGCACCTTGCTTTAATAGGGGAAGCCCTTTTGTCTATTCTACTACTATTAAATTTTAACTTTTTATCGCACTGGAACAAAATGTTTCGTTTTGCATCAAGGGGGCTGCTGGGATGCGGGTGGGAGGGGATCCTTCTGTGGATAGTACGAAGCTTTTCTGCACTTCAGCTGATCCAGAGGCTGTCATGCTGTTTGACTTACTAGTGACCACTCCCTAGCCTGGAAGCTTCTTTTATCCTCTGTGTTTTTCCTTTAAATATCAGTGCCAAAGTGTTTCTCAGGTTACTCCCAAGAAATGTCTTCTTTCTCTAATACTTTTGCCAGTTCAGCTCATGGAAACCGGATCCCCCTGTCTTGCCAAAATGTGTTTAATGGTGCAATGTTAAGTCTTCTTGGCTCCATGTCTTACTGTCTAATTCGGGAAAAAGTGCTAC